CGGCACGCCCCTGTGCGTTGGGCGCTGTGCTCGCGTGTGTATGTATATGTGTGTGTATATATATATATATGTATGTATGTGTGTACAGGTGTATGTGCCTGTGAGCGTACCCATGTGCACGGAGCTGTGGGTATTTGTGTGTGCATGTGTATGTGGGTATGTGCGTGTGAGCATACCCATGAGCATGGGCTCTGTGTGTGACTGTGTCCGTGTGCATGGGGCTGTATGTATGTGTATGGGTGTGTAAGTGTGCATGAGGCTCTATGTATGTGTGTGCATGTACGTTTAAGCATGCCCATGTGCATGGGGGCTCTATTTATTTGTGTATTTGTGCACTTGCATGTGGTGCTGTGATCAGTATGTGTGCTGAGGGTGAGGGGTGTGTGCATGTTTTTGGGAGGGAATATACTCTTGCATCTGTGGAAGGAGTAGTGGGAATGTGTGCATTCACATGTGTGTGCATGTATGTGCATGCATGTGTGTGCACACATGTGGGCTGCATGTGTGTGTGCTGAGTATGGATATGTGCATTGGAGTGGATGTACATGCACACATACATGTGCATGAGCATGTGTGGGGGTGTTACACGTGTAATTGCACTGGCTGTGCACGGGTGTGTGTTTGATGCTGCTGTGGGTGGGTTGGTTGGGAATGTCCATGCTGTGGGCATGGACAGTCACCCACAGAGGTGCCGCAGCACCCACTTGTGCACATGCACAGGCACAAACTCTCCTCTATGCACAGGGACTAAATAAAATAGAGTTATTTGAAAATAGATATTATTTCTTGCTGAAAATGTCACTCCGAGCATGAATTTTACTCTTTTTAAATATTTTTTCTTTTTTCTTTTTTTTTTTTTTTGGCTCTTGAGTAATACGTCCCCCACAGCTTGAATGTTCAACATTCCCCAGATCTGTTTCAGTTTTTATCTTAACCTCCTTGCATCTTTAAAATCCATCTCAGCGTAAATTCCTCTAGCTCTCCTGTAACATGTGGAGATCTCCTCCAGCTTCCAGGGTTATATGCAGGTGCTGCATGGTGAAACAGGCACTGGGGTGACCCTCTCCTTCAGCACCATGCCATGCTACACCACCCCATCCCTCATATACAATCCAGAGTCTTGCCCACGTGTGTATTAAGGCAGTGCTATCCAAGCAAGGCCAAGCATACATGCAGTCCTAGGTGGGTACTGCATGCCTCCAAATGCGCATCCCTTAGCTTGGATGGCGTGTGTGCCCCACACGTGTCAAGGGTTGATGGCCCCTTGCACCTTCACTGACAGAGTGCAGGTCCAACTGTGTAGCTCTCCCAGCTGCATCCGCGTGTGTCTTTTAGACAAACAGTATTTTAGCCAAATAGTGAGACTGTGATGCATGAAAACTGTGGGCAGCAGACATGATTTGTGGGTCCAGGGAGACCTCTTGGGGACCTCCCAACTACTGACTTGGGATGCAAATGGTCTCCAAGAGCCTCCCCTCCCCAATTAATTACCCATGACAGATGCTCTCTCTGAGAAATAGGTCCTGGTAGGTCCCTTTACTGAACTTGAGTGTTCCTGAATTCAGAGAAGGGGGAAGTGCCTGTTGCCTAAAACAAGAAGTAAAACCCATTCTTGTATGAGCAAGGACTAATTGAAATAAAGGAACCAAAAACGGAATATAATCTGTCTGCACAATTCAGCAAATGTTGCTGTAATAAAGAAAGAATAAGGGTCAGGGCACAAACAGCAGATGCAGTGAGTAGAGGGCTACATTAGGAAGAAATCACGCAGGTGAAAGTGCCGCAGAATTTCAGGGACTCCGGGGACATCTTCCTTGGATTTGCTTCCTTTTGGTACCCAGCTAGGATTTAATAGCGACCGCGAGGCTGAGCAGGGCTGCGGAGCCGCTGCTCCACCCAGCAGCAAAGAGCTCTTTGTCTGGCGAGGTCCGTAGGCTGGGAGATAGAGCGATTGCCCCTCCGTCCCCCTGGGCTGTCCAGAAAGAAGCTGGTTTTCCCTGCCCTCCATTAGAAATAGCTCCGTCTGCCTAATCGGCGCGTCTTCCTGCACAGCAGAGAGGGTCACGATGGATGGCATTACGCCCGTGCCTACATTTCAGCGTCTTCCCACACCCTTCTCTGTAAAACACTGCATGTATATATGTGTGCATACATATAGGAATGTGTGTATATATAAATATATATGTGATGAGCATGCATTTATGAAATGACAGCCACGAATGCATCCCTGTCCTGTTTTTTTTTTAAAAAGAAAGAAAGGAAGGAAAAGGCTGCCAAGGCTTGGTATTGCAGTGTGAATTTAAAGCAGCATCCCTGCCTTAAAAGCCTTCCCGAGAAGAAAAGCCCATAAATGAGCGTATGAATGAGAGGGTGTCAGGAGCGCTAGCACTTAGTATTCCTGGAGCGAGCCTGCGTTATTTGTTGCTGCAGCAGAGCGCTCGCTCCCCGCCTCCCCAGCCACGCGCTCGCGCATCCCAGTGCGCTTCCCGCCCGGTAGGAGAGCACAGCCCCCCGGCACGGCATGGCCCGGGGGTGCCGTGCCACGGGAAACGCACCCTTGGTGCCGATGAGGAACCCAATCCTTGTGGGGCGGAGGAGTCCCGTGTTTTATTGATCGCCCCCGGTGATGGATGGGCCCCCAAGGAGCCGCTGTCTGGCTGCAAGCAGGCGCTCAGCGGCGCGCAGCACTGTGAGGAGCCCTGGCACAGAGCGGCCGCCCGAGGAGGAGGCCGCATGGCGCAGGGACGGGCTGGGGGCAGCAACGGAGCAGCCGCTGGGGCCGAGCGCCTGGGCACGGTGGCTGCCCGCCGGAAGGGGCCTGGGCCTGGGCATCCCCCCGTCTCTGAATCAGCCATCGCTTTGGGAAAGCTGCCCAAGGCCGGAGCCGTGCGCAGGAGGGGAAGCCAGTCGGGAGCTGGCGGGCTGGCGAGGAGAAGCTCTGGGAGCTTCCAGTTGCACCGGACCAGGCTTCATCTGCAATGTCCGTCCCACTCTGCAGCCCCAGGGCCGGCCTTGCCTTTGGAGCGTGCGTCTGTGTCCCTGTGTAACCTGCTCCCTCCCCACCCTTCATGTAACCTCGTGCTCTTTTCTCTTCCTTCTCGCACCCTGCAGGACCCGGCACGGGGAGAGTAGACAGCGGCTCCGTGAGCTTGGCCGTCCCACTGTGGCTGCTGGCAGCATCCCTGCTCTGCCTACTCAGCAAATGTTAATACAGATCAGAATTTAAAATAATAATAATAATAATAATAATTAAAAAAACACAACACGACGACGAACAACACACAAAAAACGCGTTTTACAGGAGACAGAGCGAAGAAAAGGGAGAGAGAGAAAGAAGGAGAGAAAGAGAGAGAGAGGACTGTTTCTTTCACAACATTTGTGCGTTCAGGAGTGAAGAGGGGGGAGAGGAAAAAAAAATCACAGCCAAGACGACTCAGCACCATTTATTCTGAATGCCGACAAGCCGGCTCTCACGGCACCGACCATCGAGGAGGCAACATGAAGCAAGGGAGAGAACAGAGCGCCAGCAAGGGTTGTGTCGCCGGAGGACGCTGCCATGTACACGGACCAGCAGGCCCCACAGAGCCCATCAAACAGGAGATCCCTTTTCTTTTCTCTCCTCCTTCCTCTTTTCCCTGCTCCCTCCTTCACCCTACTCCTTTCCTCTGCTGAAAGCAGTCTTTGCTTTGGTGATTGTAGCCACTTATCTTTTTGGATGCCCTTGGTCATTTTTGTGAGCTGATGCTCAGCCAGTTCATACTTTTGCAGAAAAAAAAAAGGAAAAAAAAAAAAGGCAAACAAACCCAGAGCAAGTCATCTGACGCTCTCTACACGCTGGCGTCCTGTGAAGAACCCCTTCCTCTCTTCAGTTCATCCTGTGCACCCGGCCCTTGCTAAAGCCCTTCTTTCCCATACCCTCCTCCTTGCAGCATCATGCTCTCTGGCCTGAACTAAAGCTGTGTCGGCTCTACTAAAAGCCTATTTTTATTTTTTAATTTTAATTCTCTTGCTCTGCCCCTCAATCTGACCAGGGGTCTTTCTCTTTCCCCAGTGTATGTGTGCGTGTGTGCATGCGTGCAGGTGCGTATGTGTCTGTCCTCTCTCTCTCTCTTTTTCTCTTTCTCTCTCTCCCTCACACTTGCTCTTGCTCTCTCTAAGCATGCAAAAGGAACAGTCCATGTGTACATATGCTCATCCTGCTGTAGATTACGTCCTGCCTTGTAAGTGTGAGACGCGATGCTGAGAGATCACTGGGGCAGAGAAGAGGGGTGAGGAGAGCGGGGCAGTTGCAGCACAGGCTCCCCCGGAGTGCCCTCTCCAGCATCCTTGCTGGCTTTTCCAGTCCTGGCCCTCTTGCTTGCAAGAGTCAGTCTGCATCCTTTTTTTTAACCCCTTTTTTTCCTGTCCCACCAGCACCTGCCTGGCACTCAGCCTCCAAGTATCAGCACAGCAGCTCCAGTGCTTGCACATGTGCATGTGGATGTGTGCACTTGTCCAGAAAAGGAAAAGAAAGCCAGTGTGACCTGCGGGACCATGGCATGCAGAGGGCAGGTGCCCGCTCCTCCTGGGAAGGGCAGGCAGGGCAGGTGGGATGTGAGGGATGAGAGCTTGGGCATCACTGAATAACCACTCCTGTAGGTACAGTGTGCTAGGAACAAGGCCTCAGTGTAAAAACCACCCAATGCGAAATGTGGTCATCCCTAACCAACTGGTGCTGATACAGAAATGGAGCAAATACCCTTTTCTGTTGGCATTCTTCTGCCCTCCCTTCTACAGATGGAAAAGTAGAGGTGAGAGAGGTGGGTGCACACATGGGTGTGTGTGTGAGTGCTCGCTGCTGCTATTACAAAGCTCGCCCTGCAGATTATGTGTTTTAACCCAACAGGATCAGAAAATGTCGAGGACCCGTGAACGTAAGAATAAAAACAAATACCAGATCCAAAATCCCAAGCTTATGAAGAAGAAGGTTAAAGTGGAGCAGTGAGGAAGCAGGCAGTGCCATTCCCCTTGCCCTCCTCTGGTCTGGTCCGCAGAGCGCTGCTCATGCAGGAGAGGTTGCTGCATGCAGTCCCCCTCCCCACGGCAGAGCGACAGGGCGGTGTGAGACCAGCGCACCGCACACAGGGTCAATAAAAATGTCAGCGGGTGCCCAACAAGTGCTTAAGCACCGCCAAGTTTTTAAGCAGCTCCTTGTGTCTTTGCCCTGTGGATTGGTCTGGGGCAGCATGCTTGGCAGCCAGGCTCGAGCTGCACAGATGCCCTGCGCTCGGCTGCCCGCTCAGCAGGGCGCCCGCACCTTGTGCTCGCGGCTCAGCTCAGCCCTTCTGGGCAGCAGTGGCAGCAGCAATGAAGCCGGCAGCCAGAAGGAGCGAGGCAGTATTAAAGGGAGATAGGCAGGAGAGGCTGAGCTCTGCGTGACGGCAGGCTTGGCTATGGTTTTCCTGCTGTGCATTTAGATGTTGGAAGCTGTGCTCCCTCCCTGCTGGTCCTGAAGTCGTACCTAGGAGTGTTTGTGCCTTGATGCAAGAGGCGAGAGCTGGGTGGCGCGAGAGTGTTTGAAATCACCAGAGGGGCCCAAGATGCAAGGTGGCTCTTCTTGGCCAAGGCAGACATTGATGGGACTTGGGACTGTGCCTTGGGAGACTGCTGTGCTACAGCCCAGCAGAGAAAATGCTGTACATCCTTCACAGCATTCAGGCACCCAGGTCCTCATTTCTAGTTTTCGGAAGACTGTGTCCTTTGGTGTCATAGGAATGACTCCAAAGTCCCTGCTGCAATAGGGCTCCTCACCCTTTGGGCTCTCTCTGCACCTGGATTTGTTGTTGCAAGCTAGTTGCAGGAGGTGGGCAGCTTGCGGTGGCTTGCTATCACAGGGCTGCCCCTGGACTAGGCTCCTGTTTTCTTTAACCTGGCGCCAGTGTCAAGCTGCTTCTTGTTTTAGGGTCTATCCTGCATGCTCTCCTTCAGAGGCAGTTTTACTACTGTAGGGCTGCTCTTAGGCACCAGGCTCACATGCATCCAAGCACAACTGGCGTGTTGGTCACAAGCGCTGAGCTCTAGACAGCTCCTTGTGCTTCATCTCTTCTGGTTTAAGTATTTTTGAGGGACTAAGAAAGTACAGAGGCATTTGGTTTAAAGGAAGAAAACATATTACTAAAAACCTAAGTTTTTGAAGCCCTCTATCCAGTAGCTAGAGCAAATGGCTACAGTCTTGACACTCAGTTCTAGTCCTGCCTGCAGGACCTGGGCAGATGCGCCCCGCAGTCACATGTCCATGAAATGTAGCTGAAGACAGCTACTGGCAGGCCCACCTGAGGAAAGCCACGAACACAAAGTAGGACTGCTATCTGCAGCAGCGCTGGAGCCCCTCTCTTGGAAATGCCTATTCCTAGCAGGGCTGAGGGAGCCATGGGTAGGATGAGGCTTGATCTGCTCTCAGAAGCTAATCCTGTGAGCTGCTGTGGGCGTCATAGGATGCTGCGAACGCCCCTCACCCCATTCCTCCTGAACTCAAACAGGATTCGCTTGAAGCATCTGTCAAGATGGGAGTTCAAGTGACCACGGGAAAAATGGGCAAGGTCATTCATTTCTCACCGTTCTCTTTCTCCCCGCCACCCTTTGATGGAGATGTTGCAAGAATACTTCTCATGTCTCTGGCCCTTTTCTCTGAAGCTGTTGCTCCTCCTTGCCTCTGTTCCATGTTCATGGTCCTGTCCTCTCCAGCCCTTCCAGAAAAGCTGTGCTCCTGCTTCCTGCTGGCTCAGAGCTGGCCGGGGAGTGTGGGAGAGAGGACTTTGAATGGGACACTGATTCCTTGAGCTTGCTGGTGCAATTGTGTTTGACCCATGGAAGTTTAACATTTAGTGTTATAAAAATGAACAAACAAAAAGAGAAAAAAAAAAGTATTTCTTCTACAAGTCTGTAAATATTATGAGAGTTACATGAGGTGTCTGGTACTGTCTAAGCAGAGGAAAGAAGACTTAGATTTAATATATGGCCCCACATTTGCTAGCAGATTTCTAACCCTTTTCAGATGGCTGCAAGGAGGGGCAAAGGCAAGTCTTCCCAAAAGTAATGGGGCAGGGGGAATGCAGCCATCCTGAGCCGCTTGAACTCCATGTATGACTGTAGCATGTTGTTTAGAGTGTGTGTCTGGTCAGCTGAAGCTGAGGCTGTCTCTGAACTGCTGGGAAGGCAGCAAGAGAACCTCCAGCCCACATTGGAGTCCCTTGGCAGTTGTGTCCATTTCTGTTTCTTTCCAGCTCCGCAGCTTGCGAGTATGCTGCTCAGTGATGCACCCCTGCTTTCTTCACCAGTGAAGTTGTGTCACCCCATGCTAGCACCCAGTGCATGTTGACGTGCCATTCATGAAAATTTCATTGGTGACATGCATTGTGTCTAGAGTTAGTCTTTGTCTGCACACCTTTCTCATGCCACTGACTGTTTGCAATTTGGGCAGATTCTCTCCTATACTGCTGCCTGCCCCCATTTTGAAGAATATCCAAGCCCCACCAACTCTCTTTAGCTCCAGGTGCACCCAGGTTGTGCCTCCCGAGCCACCTGAAGGAACCTCTGTGGGAAAATCCCAACCCACAGCATGGACAAAATTGCCATCGGTAGCCACATTGCCTCCAGGCTGAGCAGAAGCTGCACATCTGGAAGTTGGGAAGCAACAGTGAGTCCTGACAAATCAAGAGTTTTGGAGGGAAGATGATATGGAAAGTTGTAGTAGCTAATGTTAGTGTCCTTCTCAGTCCTTCCACCAACCGATGCTTCAGTTCAATCTTTCTGCAATTCTTTACTGTTTTGCCCTTTCTCATGAGAGAATCTAGGGAAACTGGTCTTCTCCTCCCAAGCTTCTCATGCATCCACTGCCTTTGCTCTGAGCACACTGCCCCACAACCCAAATCATGGTACATGGCACAATGTAGCAACCAGCACCAAGGACTACTAAAGGAGACAGTCCTGTGGAGGAGACTCTCGGGCTTGGGCAGCTCTCCTCTCTCGCTCACTTCTGATGATGCACAAGCTTGCTGCTTTTCTGACCGGAGGACAAAAAAAAAACATGTCAAGTGATGGATGCCAGGTGTGGACCTTGCTGCGAAAGAGCAGAATGTCAGCAAGGGAAGTTATGGAGCAGCTGTGTGATAATATCCACGATGTGATGCCAGTGAAAAATCTAAGGAATGAGTGATGGCCATAATCCATGCACAGGTCTCCCAGACATGCCAGCAGGGACACCATGGCCTTGGAGGATT